GATGAATGCCATACTGCTCTTGCCAACCGAGCACTGTTTGAAAAACATTCCATCGGTTGTACATATTTCGAGTAAAAAAAAGCGGTTGAAAACTAAATGTGCGAGTAGACCTGTTCGGCACATACAGGTTTTCCAAAGCCATGGAAAAAATGAAATTATTTAGTTTTAATTTTTAGTGTCAAATTATATGAAGTTGTCATTTTGCTCGTCGCTTCTGCTGCCAAGAATCAGAATAAAGCGTACCACTACCGACTAAAGTGTCTTACGGTTGCGTATTGCGTACTGCATGAATGCCAATAACTTATCGCTTCACTTTACATTTTATGGGCTCGTTTTTGTGCATTACATATTGTGACTGAGCAGCGGTTACTACCTTTTTTGTTTTAAGGTTCATTACGGTTCACAGCACGTGATTACCGAAATTCTATTTGGCGATTGCAACTACAACATGACATTACATAATCGTAGAACCGTATTATTTTAGCAGATATATGCATACGTTCGGCAAATTTAAACATTACGTGTTTTGGTGCAAGTGTGATGCAGCGTTTTACTGCGAATTTTATGCATCTTGTTAGACGAATTTGCAGAGCAGTTTTTTACTTCGTTCTGTAATTCTTTTTCGCATTGTTATGAATCTATTATTAGCCGCTTTGGTGAGAATAAGCAGTATTAAAACTGGAAATTCATCAGGATGTGTTAGGTGAAGCATACGGAAACCATGAGCCAGCGGAACTCGTCGGCGACACCAAGACGGTGCAGCTGCCAACCGCCCATGAAGAGTATTGCCGAACTCCCATTACCGCGCCAATGGGTCGAGGCCGTGTGGGTAAATCCGTCGGGTGAAGCGGATTTTAGAAAAAAACTGCCTGGGTGACCACCTGGGTCTTCACCTAGGCACCTACAGAGGTTGTTTTTTATTACTGGCTGGCTGCTCTAAAAAAGAGCATTAATCGTCATGATCCAATAGTTCAGCGGAACTCATAGTTACCATTTGGTAAACCCTCTACGCGGTAGAACGCAGCTTCCGCACATTCCGTTAGCAGCAGTAGCCATTACTTGTCAGCTAACCGAAATGTGCACCAAAGTCACGTTGCTCCTACCACCTGGGAATCTAAATGAACATTATATCGACATTTCCGGTTGAATGAGTATATGGAAAACGAAAGCAGCGCGCTGTTCAACTCGCCTCCAGTCAGTCTAGTGCCGGCCTTACAAACGAGCAGCACAACGATCAGCAGCGTCCATATAACAAATCAAGCTGCGAGCAACATACAGTGAAACCTCTCTTATACGTACATCTCCGTTAAGAAAATTTCGTACGTAATGTAGAGGGTGTACGGAACTCAGAGGTGTGTTTTGCAGTGAAAAGTAATTTTGGTTAGTTTTGGTAATTTTTTTTTGTACTTAATACAGAGAGCGTACGTACATAAGAGTGTACGTATCAGGAAGGTTTTACTGTAGTATATTTCTAGGCGCAATAACCGCTGATTCCTTGTGTTCTTTTATCTGGATATCCTCTGGAATAAATAAGATCGCAGTTAGTGCTTTTGGCGATTGAATCAGCTGTCGTCCCAATTCCCAGCTGCAGTCAGTACCTACCTTGCCTTACGATATCAACTTAATTTTGGCTTCTGCATAAAACTGGGCAGTGTAGCTATGTACATCCGTAATTGGAAGCCGAGCGTAAAATTACCAGTACATCCTGGACACCACCGCTGTGTTGGCATGCCTGCCATGGACGGAATCGTTCTGTTCTGGTGCCAATAAAATTGGCGTCAATACAGCACCATTCCATCCATAGTGGCTCGATCAGTCTGTCCAGTGTCCTCGCCCCATAACGTGCACGGAACGACAACTGCCGGACATAGCGAACTGCCCACTTTATCAGGATTCATCACGTCGCCATAAAGTAGCTGTCGCATTTGCGGTTCGGGAGGTCTGTCCGCCAGTTCGAGAAGGCATCCCATAACTAAGGCCTCGTCCCCTTTCTAAAGCGTATCTCGTTGCGATACAGCACCGTATCTAGTTTAGATGCAGTACAGAAATGGGACACTATTTGGTGCGCATCACCAAGATACAGTATCGGCTACGCACATCGAAACCGGGCTCGATATCGGTTTCCTGTATCGCATCTCTAGCTTTGGCGCCGTATCGCTGTACTTGCGTCTCATCGCTTCGATCGCATCTTGCCGCGCATAACTTTATTTATCCAAGCGCCGATCAGTTCGTACGACGAAAGTTTTCGCTTTTTTAATTTCCAAGTTCGGGAAAATTGTATAAAAGTTCTTGATCCCCGTGTTATATCAGCTCCATATATCATCTAACCAATTACTGCCACGATGCCTCGCGCTCCCAAATCTGCTCCTCTGTCTCCCAAAAAAATGAAGTGAGTGCTGTCTAAGCTTCTCATCATCTTTAGTCTACGACCGATGGCTGCAGGAGCTCCTCTGTCTTATCAGCCACGCTTATTTTGTTTCTGCATAGGTGGCTTGTCGCTACTCGCATCGACCGGGAGGATGAGTTTCGACGTTGCACAAGTAAACGAAATTTTGGTCAAAGGTGTTCCAGGAGATGCAGTTGGTTTTTAAAGATGCCCTGGGAAACCGCACCAGCGAGAACCTGAAGATCTCTTACGACAATGCGTGGAAGAAATATAAGGTAAATCAATTTTTGCATAATACATGTTTTCAAAATAAAATATGTAGAAATTACTTACCTGCATTAGTGACAGTGATTAAATTACTAACAATAGTTTTGCAAACTGTGAAATTAATTTTTGCACTTTTTTGCGGTTACTTGTAGGCAGAGAAAAACGAAAAAATGGCACCGGGGAAAGCGGTGAAGTAAAATATCATTTATTTGAACTCTTCGATAAGACGTACGGCGATCGGGATGATATTGCTTTTGCAACTAATTCGGTGGCTCTGGGAGCGGGATCCACGAGCAACGTTTTGGAAGACATCGGTGCCGAGGACGGTGATATTAATTTGAGGTAAAATCTTTGATATTATCATGCACAGTTATACCCTATTTATTTGAGAAATTGATGTGGCAAAATAATAGAAATATTAAGTTTTGCTAATTCAGCGACGATGATATGCAACCGGATACTCCTGCGGGATCTCCAACTGGAAGCGCGGAAAAGCCAAAGAAAGCAAAGAAGAGCAAAAAACGCAGCGCCGCCAGCGAGACGGTTAAACTCATGACGCGTTCCGTTGCTATCATGGATGATATGCGAACTTCCCTAACCGAAATGGTAAAATTGGAAAAAATGAAAGTTGAGCTTGCAAAATTGAAGTTCGAGCGGCAGTACAACGTGGATGTCGACTTCGGAGACGATGAAGTTCCGCAGGCTTTAGGAGAGGAATAAATTTGACTAGTAAAGGGAACCGAAATTTGACTTGAGATTAATATTATGATAAAACGGTGTCGTAAAAACTCTGGTGTTATGCATCTTTGTTTTTTTTTCTGGGTATATAAACACTCGTACATGAAGCGTTGTTTAGTTTAGCAATAGAAGTATGATATAGTTCAGCAATAGAAAATATAATCGCCACACTGTTTACCTACTTTCCTTATAACAAGCAGAAATAATTACAAAAATGTTAACCGCAATACATCTTAATCACAGTTACACATCCATTCATCGGAAACCCCGCCGCGGCAGTCTTTTCAAAAGTTCCTCATTGAATTTTGTATCTGTAAACATCGACAAAAGAGCGGTGGTGTAAGCTGGATTGGTGTTTCGAGGGCGCTGCATGCCCATACGGATGAAATGATAAAAAATGCAATCCCCGCAAACCTTAACCTTTTCAATAACATGGTTAACAAGGCATTTCCACCGGGCAACGCGTTTTCATTTTACACGACTACGCATATGGTACGTCTACGCCGCCTCTACAGTATGGGGCACTGTGTCAAAATGTAGACAATTGCCACTAATTATACAGATGCGAGGATTTTGTCTTTTAATAAGAAAATCTTTCAATAGGACCAAACAGAAGAACTTTGCTATTGTTAAAAATATTCACTGTTTACGAGGATCGTTTCAACAGCGGTTTTCGGTTAAAACCTATCCGGATAGTTAACCAATCCGGTGAACTACCTAGCTTCGACAAATCGCAAAGTTTTTTTAATCGTAACGAAGGTTACAAAAAATGGTGAGCGCATCACAATCGCCGGTAAGCTTACATTAATGGCCGACATAACTGTATTCTGCATGAGGGTGACAGTCCAGAATGAGAGCCGAAGGTAAAGCGCTTTCATAATGATCGCGCAGCCACTCCGAGGTACAAGTGCGTCCATCCATTTTCAACTTCATCCACATTTAAACACCTAACCGCAGCATAAACGACGACTTCAACGCGCATTGTATACTGTACCGTACTGGCATTTTGCCACCACTCTACAGTGTTTCCATAGCGCAGCAACAGATTTTCACTTGCATCAGGTCCATTTCGTTAGGTCACCTTTCCTGTCAACATGCAGGAGTTATTGATGATTAAATAAACAACAGCTTTCACAAAACAAGCCAAAACCATGTGTGTCGATTGCCAAGCGTCTCCATGAATAAAAATGAGATAAAAATAAAAACACAACTTTTTTCCTGTGCTATAGAATCAAAATAAAATAATATACGTAAATTCGATAAACAAACTGCAGCGGTAATGTAAGCCGTTCACTTTGACATGCCGGTTGAGTGAATAATTAACAGTACAGCACACGTAGCTATTGACTTAATAAAACAGCATGAATAATTTACCAGAAATTTTACACTTACTGATTTCTTAACCCAACGAATTTGGCAGCATCCGCGCAACTAGAGCGTTTTTAAAATCGCCAGATGCTCCTTCGGCAACAGCATCCTCTTCATCATCCAGATCAACCGCTTCGACATGATCGTCTCCCTCCAACGTAAAATCATCTACGGATTTGATGTCCAAATTATGAAGCAGACAGCACACAATAATAATGTGCTTCAGTGCACTCATGTCGTCTTAATCCAAGAACTTCAAAATTCGAAAACGTCGCTTCAGAACGCCGAAAGCTCTTTCAACGACTTTTCTTAAACTGGACTGAATTTCATTGAAATCTTCCTGCCTAGCTGAGAGGCGGCCGTTCTCTCTAAAAGGTGTCAAAACTTTTCTTGTCGCACGGTACCCACCATCACCTGCAAATTACAATAATAACTTGTAACTGCGTTACTTCGTTGAAATTTGATCTCGAAAATGAAAAAATACACTACTTAATTTTACCTTTTTACACAACATTAGTAGAAAAATATTAAAGCTATTAAAAAACGGAGAAATTAACAGCAGTACAAATTTAAGTCAGCACTATAGACTCGTTTATTTCTAAAATAACAAATTCCTTTAAATTCCTTAGTGCGAATACTCACCCAAAATCATCCAGTTCTCTGGAATTAAGCCTTCCAGACCCGAATTGTCGTACACGTTCTGGTCATGCACCCGCCCAGGAGCTCCAACATATAGATGTATAAATTCCATAGACGAATTGACACAAGCCTGCACGTTAAGAGATAATTCCCCTTTCCTGTTGACGTAGCTTTGAGGGCGAGAGTGTGGTGCTTTAATGTTGATGTGTGTCCCGTCCACTGCTCCCAGTATTTTTGGTACCCAATCAGCGCCATAAAGCAGTCCTTTTTCTTCAAACTCTCGGGCCGAACGCATCATACCATCTTCGTCGGGAAACTGTATAACCGGCCAGTATTCTTTCTTCATGGCATTCAAAAACGTCCGAAAAGCTCTACTCGTCGTCGAGCGCGACAAACCATGAAGTTCGCCCTGTGACCGTACCGGTGATCCGTGTGCCAGCATATGGAGGCAGGCAGCGATTTTGCATTCCGTAGAATAAGGCCTCTTCGTCGAACTCATTTCAAAATATGGACGTAATTTCTCCACAACTTCACGAAAAACATCCACATTAACGTGGTACGTCTCAAAGAATAAATGCCCAGGATATCGCTTGTAAAGGTTTTGCGCAGCAAAACGAATTTCTCGGCGATTAACGTTCTTGTTACCTCCACGAGATAGATATCCCTTTGTACTCAAGTTTTTTAAACCACCAAATAAATTCTGAATTGCACTAGAAACTGACATACATACTGCACTAACAGTTTTTGTAACGCTTTCGTTCTCGTCATCAGAACAAACGGCATCATAATCCATTTTTGACAAAATTCCGTTAATAATTGTTCAAGATTATTAGGCGAAAAAATTTCTTGAAAATTATCATGTGAAACGACGGATACCAAGGAAAGCCACCTCTGAAGGTGGCTTCGCGTACCGTATCGTTTTTCTTTGTTTTCGACGGTATGCGAAAAAAGGGCGCGTTTAATTTTCGCCTGATATAAGACGCAGGGTTAGTACAGGCTACGAGGTACGGTACGCGAAGCATCGTATCTACCCGTTGCGAATACGGGACGCACTCGGATACGGAGCGCACCTCCGTCCCGAATGTTTCCCTTGGTAGCCAGGTACGCGAATCGAAAACTGCCATACCGTATCGCGTACCTGCTGTTCTGGGACGGTGGTGCACTGTACGGAAGCTAGATTCGCTACAGAAAGGGGACGAGGCCTAAGTGTACATCCTTGGCACAGTTCCCGCATACCGCTGCAGTGTAGGTGACACTTGGAGCGCGCAGCTGATGATTCCTTCTGGAACACCACCTCGATAACGACCACGAAGGAGGACGTCCGTCGATCGCCGCGGGTTATACTGGACGAACTGGTGCGCCCCGATGTTTGTCTAATAGACGCATTTCCATTACACGCGAGTTGGCTGAATTTGATATTAATCGGAATCCAGAGACAGTGTTTCATTTTATTGCCGGAGTGTAACTCGTTCCTGTATGTTTTGGCCTGCACCAGAATTTCGTGGCTTGGTCTTTTTATGCCTGCGTATAAAAAAAATTTTGTATGGATTTGTTGCCGTAGTTAGAAAACTATAACATTATCACTTTCAATAGTAGAAAACAACAGTAGAAAACAATCTATAAACAACAGTAGAAAATTTCTTCATAGATTTCAGTAGAGTACAGCGCTCTCTGTAAAGTTCGGTGCTGGAATAACAATGTTGCAGCTTGACTTTGTAATACGGCCCGGAAGCCCGGAAAGACGACACTGCAGTCGTGACTCCTGAGCGTGATTGGTCACACGCACGCTGACCTTGGTGTCTGTTTTAGGCTTTTTAATACTACCCTAGTGTTTTTTTATCAAAAGTTCATTACCGTGTTTTAAATTTTGCCTGTTTTTAAAAACAAGCACATACAATGTACGACAAAAAGAAGACTATGGCTATTTTACCCCAGTATTCTGCAGTGTGGCAAAATAGCTGAAGACTATTTGACCCCAGTGTGGGGCAAAATAGTAAAAGGCTGATTTGCCCCACATACTGGGGCAAAATAGCCAAAAGTTAGTTTGCCACAAAGACTGGGGTAAAACAGCCACTTCGAAAAAAAGAAGTTGATTGCTCGGCTTTAAAACGTATTGTGCGCACTGGCTGTTTTCCCTGTTGCAAACTGATCTCCGTTCATGCGTGTGTCGTAAAGTCAGTTCTACCACCCATTTCTCGTGAATTACGAAACAGAATCACTCAACCAATATACCAAAAGATCCAGAAAAAAATTATGAGATTTTTGATTCCAAGTAAGTGGCAATTCATGGGAAATGAAATAAATTATCAGTGTTTGTTATTCTCATAGGCTTAAGGCCATGGCTATTTTGGTTTTAATCGCTTTGAAATGAGCAGTTTTCCCTTTTGCTTCGAAACGTACGTAGTATTATGTCTATCTATGTATCCAGTGGAAATTGAGAAAACTTCAGTACGAACCAGCCCAAACGCAGCTTAAACGATGCAGTTTAAAATTTGAAATAAAATAATCCCACTAAAAAATTAACTAGTCTGCACTCGCTACGGAGAAAATTCATTGTAAGCAGCCAAAAAATCAAGAACTTAGTCCTCTTGCACCCCGCGAGGGCTTTTTTCAAAAAACAGATTTTTAAACTAGCAGCCTTTAAAAAACACTTTTACAATTGCTAGTTATCGTTATAAGTCAAGTAAAGCCGATTATTTTTAAATTCGCTCTCGCAATTAAGCTTTTGAGATATTCTTCCATCTATTGCGCAAGTTTCAAAAAGTTTTATAACTCCGAAATTAGAAGTTAATTTTCAAAGTTATTTGGCTGCATCTTTTGCGGCACCTTTCGAAAGTTCATGCAAGTTTATGTCTCCTGTGCACATGTTGGCAGATTCCACTCACCACATGCATCCCGCCACAGAGACTATCCAGACAGCCGAGTGACCGCTTCAATCACACTTGCGTGTGATCAAAACTTATTGTCTTTCTATGTTTGCTTTCATTCTACCGATGTCCAGCGATGTTTTATGGCTCGGTAGGACAAAAGACGTAGACCGCAATTTATGCTTCCATTGACTTTATATTACATATTCGCTTGCTGGCATATACTCGCGTGATGGTTAGCCGAGCCAGTCATTAGATGCAATGTCGACCACTTTAGGCCGCATAATTCAAAAATTCATATTTCGAATTCTACTTATGTTATAGGTTTGATTTTTTTTCAAGTAATAGAGCAGTCTTCATTTAGTATGTCTGAGTTGTTACGGAAAATGCCATTTTAGCATTAAAGCCAAAATAGCCTTGGCCTTAAGCATAGATTGAGCGCAAAACGGTTTTGCGCGCAGATCGTATGCTGTGTCTACGAGAAAGCAAAATGGCTAGCATTTGTGTTGTTCGCCATAAACAGCCACAACTTTAGTATCAAAAAGTTTGGAATTTCTTTCTACACCTTTTGATATGCAATTTGCATAATTGCACTCCAAAATTCACGGAGCGCGAACGTTTTAAAGTAGCGTACAAAGAAAGTAAGCGTCAAAGTTTCACTGGTGGCGTGTCGTTGCGAGATTATTTTTGAACCGCGGACCGACTGATCAGTCAACTTCTTTTTGTCGTCCATTGCATTTGTGGTAACTGTAGATTTTCCTACTGGTTTGTGTTGCCCAAACCTTACATTCACGCGAATATTTATGGATATTAATTATTACATGCAAGCCTCGTGAGAGCGAGGCCCCGTAATTCACATTCTGTGAATACCGGTGTCTGTAATAGTAAAGACCGTTCGATCGCACTATTACAGACTTAACTTAATAACAAACATAACAAACACGAAAATTACATGTAACGCTGACCTCCGCGGTTAAGGCTATCCGGACGCAGTTGAAAAGATGCAGCAACTCTCGCGGCTACCGCCGGGAAAGCATCATGCAACCGATATTTCACGGACTGGACCAGGGGACGGCAGGCCACTGTTGTACGCTACAATTTGTTCAACGTGCCCAGCAGTCACGCCGTTCAGCCGTGCACGATAACAGAAATTATGCGATGGCCATAGCAGTCCGTAGTGCGTCAATGCCACGTTGCACAATCATGGAATTCCGCAGAAATTGGTTCTTTCTGATTTTAAAAAATCACACATAGTAGAAATGGACGACAATTTCGTATTGTGCGCCGGCTGACTGTAAATACTCCACGATCGACAGAATCAGCGAAACACAGCAACTGGAAAATGCACATTTGCCTACCTTAGCATGCGACTATACGAGTAAAACGTAAAACTGTAAAAGACATGTTCGTACGATGTACGACTGAGATAAGCATTCTCGAGAAAAATACATTTCCCACTGACTACACTGATCATCGTGTTAGCGATGGACCAACCAAAACGTTTCCGTGAACTAAACGTGCGGCTTACAACACTACTTACAATTGTTCAAGCGCCGTACCAGATGAGATCTGGATGGACCAGTTAGGTTCAGTACAGAGGTTAACACTGCACAATTAAATGACCTGCGATACATTCCATCACTTTGCCAACCGCTGTATGTTCCCATGGTTTTGTTAATCAGTGTACTGAGAATTTCATTTATCAGATTCGTGAATATGTGGTTTCCCTTGACCGATGTATTAGACGATGAGATTTTCTGGAACTATTTGCATAAAATTAAGATCTGCAAGCTGGATTTCCCGAACACCTAAGGTGCCCTAGGTCTGCTTGAAAACGCAAGGAGACCAGGGCAATTTCGCGGGGAAACTCATCTGCCCGGGAAGTCTCACCCCTTACAGAATTTTACTGTGCATACTTTAGAATCGTGATATAAAAGAATTGCACTACTAAGTAGATAAAACATATTTATTAATTTAATGCTAAAATTCAGTTATGCAGTGCCCGCCAGAAGCGAGTGCATTTTTCTGTACAAATTTACCATAAAGTAATTAAAACCAATGGATTCTTACGATAAAAATGTTTACAGCAATAATTGGCGATGTATGGGCGGTGGGTGGTACGGAACCTGGGTAACCCCCGGGCCTTGAACTTTTGTCTGTACTTTGGTGTGTTCAATCTGTCGACTGGCTTGCACGCATGCCATTGCCACGCATTCGCCTACTATAAAGAAGCATTAACGGTCTCCTTATCGACAGAATCAAGGCCAGTCGAACAATACTGCAGTCTCCAGTATACAGTAGACCGGAAGTGCAATGCAATGCTGCTGTTACATAATGTATCAGATACATACATTAGGTACATATAGTATATTTCCTTTGCGCACGTTGGCTGCACAAGCGTATGTGTGGTTGCTCTCCATATATGTATCGTTATTTACTGGAAAAATTGGTAGATATCGTCCACCCGTGGTGTCTCCGGTAACGCCTGTCCAGGTATTCATGGAACACACGCTACCCCGACGATCCAAAGCGTAAGATGTGGTATGGCCTTTACATGCATAAAATAATCCAGTATAAGAGGGGATTTCAGCAGCGCACCTAGATACGAGTAATCCCCTGTATTGCCGCCGTCACCCGCCTGGAGTGTGACATTACGGCAACACATATGACTAAATCTGGCGCGGTACATAAGCACCAGGTATAGCGACAACCTTTGCTTCAGCCGGCTGACGGCAGCAAGTACAGGGATTTATCTAGGTGAGCTACTGATCTCAATAACAATCCGGCAGATACGTAAGTGCGGATACGAATTTACCGTACCAAAAGAACGAAATTCATTTTCACCATAAGTACTGACGTAATGCAGCTGAAATTTACTATCAGTGGTAATCAATTCGAGAAAAAACTAATTTACCGAAATATTAATTTTGAAATAATATCGATATAATAGTTTTATAGTGAAAAATGGAGCAAAACGCAAAAAGTTGCATAATGCATATATGAAATTTGAGTAGAACGCATAGAACGTTTGTCAGCAAGCGTTTACGCTTCCGGATAATATTGTTGTCGTGTTGTGTGGCGGTGCTTTCTGTTGGTCGTGAACAAAATTATACACAGCCCGTTGCCCGATACGTGGGGATACATCCAAGGCGCTGCGACGCCGCCGGAAGTGGTTTACCACATCGGTCGGTATAATATAGTAGTACGATGTACAGTGCGATTAGTGTGGAGGAAATAATTACTACACCGACCGCTGTGTCGGATTACACATTCGCAAACTTTCATGCAGTGTACTTAATTATCTCTTTACTGAGTTCATTTAACTGCTGTTTTACATAATTGCTGGTGCTAATAATTTTGAACAATGACGTACACTTATTTTGAACAATCATGTTTTAATTAAGCATGAACAATGACGCGGTATTGTTTCTGTTGTGTGTGTACGTGGCCAACCGAAGCTGCAATTTAATCCTTGGCTGCTCGAAAAATTGCTTCTTCTTTTAGATAATTCGCTAGCTTTCACGCCCAGCTCAACGTTATTACAAATATATTATGCACGGTGCTACAGCCGATGTTCCACGTTACCGAAAACGTTTTTTGGACATTTGCAACGCTCAAGAATTTTCGGCATGCCCCAGCCGGCTAGTATGCACTCGCTAAGTGCATGTTGGTTGGATGGGATTTGCCGTAAAGCAGATACATGAGGCAACTGAGTTTTCATGCCTACGTTCGTTTCTGTATAAATCCACTGCTTACAGTTCGCTGCTTATTTTTACTTTATCGCGATCTGTACTGTAATAAAATTAATAGCGTAGCTGTGGCCGGTGAGTGCAAAGCCCTGTCCGAGAAAACTGCGCGTAGAGGCAAAAAGAGAAACCGACCCATGACAATTGAACTGCTTTTTTATCTCTTTTAATAGGGCAACCGTAAATAAAAAAATTGATTTAATTATCATTTAATTGTCATATATCAGTTTCACATGGGCGACATTATCTTGTTATTATTACGGTGAATCGATTCGGAAAAACAGACCCGCAAAAGTTGAGTTTTTCAGCACTTAAAGTACGACGTAAATTAGTATCCATCAAGAAAATAAAAAAATTCAGAGGGTGTCTTTAAAATTATAAGGTGCTTACAGAAAAATTTTACCTACACTTCAAGTATACTTGTAAATTTTTTACCATTCGCTTTCTTCTTTACCAAATAAATTCGTTGCAATTTGAAAGATTTACGAAATGAGCATATTTAATTAAATTTTCGCGTGAAACACAATTACGCTAATGATGCCTAATGAAAATGTAAAGAAACCCACCTGCGGCAGTGCTGAGACAGGATAGTATAATTACTTTTCCGCGTGATATCTGCTTTTATCGAACGAGGATCGCTAAGTTATATGATGATCATATCGTTAGGTTGTGTAGTTGGTAAAAAGGCAGAGAGGTCTTAGCGTTTGACCTATCACGTTCACGTGTATCGCAAGCCACGACTACCGTGCCGCATTTCCGGGCTTTAGTGCCGTATTACAAAGTCCAACTGCTTGATTGTTATTTCCACCATCGAACTCTGTACTTGGTTACCCTGAATTATTAGCGGCGATGCGTTTCTCACGACGGTAACCCGCAAGACACTGTCACGCTTAAATATATTCCCACTATTTCCCAGTATGAATAATCACTAGTTAATCACCAGTCACGAATAATCACCAGTTAGTTAGGATGAAAAGTTGGTTATCTAGGCAGCTAAGGAATCGATTCCCCACCAGTATCCGGCGTATACTTTATTTGTATTGCGACGATCCAACTGCCAGGTGGATGGTCGCCGTTCAGATGAAGCAAATACCGAAGCATTTCATTGCATTTTAACATTTCATCCCATTACGCTGCGCATCGATGCACAACTGTGCGTACCCCAGGAAAATCGGGCCACCGGAGATAGCGTGGACGTGACCGCGTAAGTATCACGAGATCAGCGGAAGCTTGTATAGTCGTGAACTCGTGGCCAAGAACGATGTAGTATAACATTCATTACAATTATTTACAAAGCACACCACTTAAATCAACGGCTTGCTTGCTTTAAAAGCAATGTTGCGTGTTAAGCCTTACAGAACCAGCGGGGTTACTAATGATAAGAATTTCGCGAAATTAGTAAATAAACAGGTTTTATTAATTAACAAATAAACATGTTTTAAAAATATAGATGATATACCAAAATTCCAAAAGTTTATTAGAAGGTGTTCGGTTTTTCACACTCCCAGACACGTTACTGCACTGTTTTGTGCCGCACCGTTTCCCAAAAGATTTGTACCTATTTTCATTTGCCTAAAATTCGTTTCGATGCGCAACATCTGGTAGTAGCACAGCACTGTGTAGCATAAGCTGCTATTAATATTTACAAAGGTTTGAAAGGATACCAGTCGACCCAAATTCTCATTGCGGTCAGTTGCGCCTGTTGCGGACCATTTCTTCAAATTTTGCATGCAAATGCAAATTATAGTGAAAATCGAGTTTTTCAACCAAACCGTTAATTGGTTTGGTTTAAAAACGATTTTCAAAAATCATGCAAATACAAAACGCAAGGTTTTAGATTTTGTTGATATTTCAAAACATTTTAGACTTTTTAGTTGACTTTAATTTGAAAAAATGTTGTGCATTTGTTGATTTACATAGTTTAATTTTTTTAGACAAACAAAAATTTGTTTCGGGATTTTATTTCCAAAATCAACCTATACTTTCGTACTACCACTTAGAAGAAAGTGTACGAAATGCACTACAGATAGTTATCGAGCAACTTTGCCAACGATAACCAGCGAAAATTGTGCTTGTTTTCTTAAAACGATTAATTAGACGACGGTTATAACTCCGATGTACGATAACGGCAAAACCATTAAAATTACTTGTGTTTTCAACAAACTCCACACGCCATAGCTTTACAAATGTTTAATTCATATATGACCTATACCGATTGTATCGATCTTTTGAACAAAGATAACAGCGTTTTTCCGATTTGCAGTAACTATCCCACTGCATTTTCAGTCCACATTGCAAACGCCAATAGTACCAATACTACGCTGTCCTTGAAAACTATACCATAAATGCTTCTTCTTTATCAGGTATATATGCACGGTGAAAGGCTGAAGGCCTCTGCCTGCGGCTAGGTACGTACCTGATACTCATAACGGTCATTACACTCATAATCCTACTCTTAATTCAGAATCCATACTCATATATTGGCTGTCATAATCATACTTTGACCCTACCAATCATTATACTTTTTTTCATAATAATAACTCATACCTGCCCTACGACTCATACCAGTGCGCTCCTGCGTCTCACAAATTTTAGATTTTAAAAGGTCAGCAGTTTGAATTACCCGGAATGCTAAAACAAATTCACTGCGATTTCGAGGCGCATCAATACTGGATCGGTACAAGTTGCAAGATCATGGCAAAAGCGCAGTTTTTGTATATTTATTAAGCGAATATACTGAACGGGAGTGGTTTTGCTGGTTATAATGTAGTGAGTCCATTTAAATTACTGATATCGTTAGCACCACTTAAAATATGGACAGTGGTTGTTTTTCTTTTTTTATATTTCCCAGTTTCTTATTGCTTAGTTTTTGTTACTCAGCCTTTGCTCATTACTTATGTTTTTTGGTGGTGAAGTTATTTTCAAAAATTAATTTTCCGCTTTAAGGTCAAACGAAGCAATGTTGACAATAGTGGACGACTGGACGGTAAAGTAACCGAACTAGGTGTTGGTAGAATAAACATCTTTACATATTTGGCATTACTTAGCGTCTTCCGGTTTACACATTTTGCATTAGCAAAAGCCAAAAATAAAATATTTGTGACACAGTGGTATGAGTATTATAACCGAGTTACTCGCAAATAATTATTCTGCTACATGGCTGATGTTCCTTGGCGCATTGCCTGTAAACAGTATCTGGCCGACCTGATAACTGATCAGTCAACAGCAAAATAAGGATTTTGGTCGGCAGATTGTGCACAGTGCAGTGCAGAAATCAGGCACCAAAGTCTTGGCGCAAGGACCGATTGTTACTGTAGCCGCCCGCACAAGTTGCTCCATTGGCAGATCCGGCCGTGGCCTTCTCCCTGTACACACTGCGTTGAACAGTGAGCAGTGTGGGTGCAAATATCCGTATACCCCACTCTGTGGAGCAACTTGTGCGGGCGGCTACAGTTACCGACGCTACGATCGTTACTCAACGATTGAACTCTTTAATCTTTACTGTATTACTGTATTACTGTTTGTTTAATCATGTCTTGTACATATTCAGAAGTGCTTAGCTATGCGTACAATTTTAGTATGAGCGGTTCTACGGTCATTTGTTATCTGTGGACAGCCACTCTTTATATGTACAATGGAATGATTATAGAAAGGCTAACGAATCAATCCCCCACAATTATCCGGCGTGTATTTCATCCGAAAGGAAACTACCCAAGTGCCATGTGGCTGGTATCCGTTCAGATGAAGCATATTGCGGGTCATTTATCCTCGTAGAAGCCGTACGTCCGTCCCCTAAAGCCGAGGATCGGATCGAGTCGCACTGACTGCCTTCCAAGATCGATAGCTAGAGTATACCACGCTGGCAACATAACTAGGTAATAGGTATTAATAGTGATTTAAAAATTATTCGTTTTCGCGCATTTCCAAACAACTTTCTACACTGCTTTACTTTATGACGCTGTATAGTTAAATGGTTTGCAGTAAATAATATCATAACTAATATTCAAATTTTTCTTATAAATTTCGTTGCAAACTTGTGACAAAAACAATAAAATTTTTTCTGTTGAAACAAAACATAGAACGGTTAAATTTTAATCTTTAGACTGTCAAGGATGCGCATGGCGGGCACGTGCGCGAGTGTAGCCGGCAAAACAGTTAACATGTTAACGGTTAACGCATTAACATGTGAGCCGGGCTAGAATGTTAACGTTAACATTCCCGCCGGGCCCAAATGTTAACGACCAAAAGCATGCAAGCTGTTCACTCAATCTCCGCAGCAAAATAATCGCAGTTCCCGAATCATGGACTAAAACAAAGTTCAAATCACATTTAGACCCGGTCTGAAGTCCTGTACGAATTGCAAGTTCTTAAGAAGTGACAATACTGGTCTTGTTCGTGCAAATTAAAGTGGCAAAATTCGGTGCGGCACCGTAATGTACAGTAGTACTGTACGCAGTAATAATAGCAATAGCTGTAACAGAAATAGTTGGAGAAATACGTAAAATATAAATTTAACTGCCCCTTAATACATAATCGTTTAAAATTGCTGTCGAAAATTTATGTTATTTTCAAGAGCACTTTATTTAAAAATTTGAGACATTAATTTTGCAGTTTTTCATGAAGCGGTCGTGTTATAGTCTCATTTAAAACAGAGGAGGTTTTAATTTCCAAAAGTGGACTTCTTTTGCGCTTGCTGTTTGTTAAACAAGGAAAAGCAATTTTAAAGGAAGTAAAGCTTTTTGTTAACGCAGTTAACAGGGGAGCGGGGCTTTGATATTCACGCTATAACTGTACGGTAATCGGATTCCCCTAAATTATCAACTTAAACCGCTCTCTTTAAACGCTTGTACAAACGCATGAATCGCTTATTATACTAGGACGCGTTAATTTTCTGCTAAGGCTAATAGTTTCTACGTATAGGGCTACTCGCTATTTGTATTTTCTTTATTCTGTGAATTTAGTCAGCGATCTGCACTGAGTTTCAGGACATGAGTGCTCGGCGGGGATGCTCACATTTCTAACAAAATTATGCACATCGAATATGCATGCCTACGATTATCGCTGTCGAATTAAATCGTAACTTGCTCTTTTATGCATTAAGCATGAAATCTCAATGGGTGAGCTGCGGCTAGGAATATGTCACGGTCATTTAGATTGACTGGCCTCCTACAAAAAAATTTAATGTAATACAAAGCCGGTATGTTTTTTTAAAGTTTTGTTATGAATTTCGCTAAATCCTACGAAGCCATAATTCCTTTTTGTTTATGATTTTTACAATATACGAGCATTTATTAATTTACCCATTCGATAGGTTGTAGTCAACATTGCGGTAATAAACATTCGTAGGTGTCGGGCGAAGATGTTAATTTTTTAAATATATGGATTTCGACTACGAGTACCTAGTAGTACTACCTACTTATGTTTGTAGGGTTCCAATCAAATGTACCGTTAAGAGATTTGTGTACAGCAGTAAACAATTGTTTTTTTCGACAATAAATCAACAGCGTACAGGGGCTTGAAAGTTAACGGCGTTATAACGCGTGCCAGCTGGAATGTTAACGGCATTATAACATGTGATGGCTCAAAGGTTAACGGCGTTATAACATGTGCCGGCTCAAATGTTAACGGGGTTATAACATATGCCGGCTCAAATGTTAACGGCGTTATAACATATGCCGGCTCAAATGTTAACGGCGCTATAACGCGTGCCGGCTGTAGTGTCAACGGCGTTCTAACGGCACCCTATCATTTTGGAAACCATTCATTTCGGAAAACGTTCATTTCGCAAACCATTCATTTCGGAAACCCAGCATTTCCGAAGCCGCCAAGAAAACAGAAGAAAACTAGTAACACCATAAAAAACTAGTAAAAGCGTAAGAAAACATACAAATCAAAGAAACCTGAGAAATAAATAACAAAAATAAGATAGCTTAAAAACATTATCAAAACCCAAAAAACTTAATAAAACCTAAGTATAACACAAGAAAACCTAAGAAATCTAAGAAATTTTAAGATAACCTAAAAAATGTTAAGAAAACCTAATGTCTAAAAACTTAAAAAACAGGAATAACATAAGAAAACTAGAAACGGAAGAGAACCTAAGAAACCTAAGAAAAAATTTGAATGTTAACATAAGAAAACCTAAGGGAACCGAATCATTAGAATAGCATTAGCATAGCATAGGAAAAACGAAGGAAACACGACGTTTAATGAAATTTTGGTGTTATAAGAAAATGCCAATGTTTTCAATTATTATAACATTACGTTGCAAGCTTCAGTTGTCTGCTTTTGTGCGGCAACATAGTAATAATAATAGTTGTCGGGGTCCAATCTATAGTCTTACATTGCTGAGCTGATCTCTCCTGTGGCGGCGTTTTTTAGCATTCTAAAAATTTGCTAAAAAACTTACGCCTTTTAGACCGTGATCACGCAACGTTCCACGTGGCAAAACCATTCTAAAATTGATTAAGCCATAATTATTGTTTTTTCAAAATAAATCAGCGGTCTACGATAATCAGTGATAAACGATTCAAACTAACAGTTTATTTTGACTTCCAGTTTTTACACAAAAAGACTACTCCCTTCTTATTCACCAACAAATGCACATATCTGCAATCGGTTGTTGGGCAGACAGACATGTCAGGATACTACAGCACACACACGCGCGCTGTATATACGAGGTAGAACAGACTTGGACGGCTCATCAAAGGTATCAAATTACGCCGTTAACATCTGAGCCGGGCTGGGATGTTAACATGGGTGCCGGGGGGCTGTATTTGCAATTATTTAAAAAGTTTCTTACTTCGAAATATAATTTTGCGTGTCGCATGTCGAAGTAAGCGATTACTTGTATGTTAAACTGCAATTGCCAGTTGCTTGTCTAACCATTACAGTAGTTTAAAAGGCGCGATAAAGAGCAGCTTGACAACAACTATGGTCAGATCCCTAACATCATTTGTTCATGCACTATAAATAATTTTCTTAATATAAATGTTGAAAAATTAAAACTGGAAAATACGAGTAACTTTAATCTGTGCAAACTAGACCACAATTGAACATAAACTGAAATAGGAAAAAAACAAAATCACGACTCACGCCAAACTCTAGTGTAGTGCCGCTGACAGTGAATTTGTGTGAATTACTATCGCATCTACATATTAAGCGCTTGTAGCGCCAACATCAATGCCGGTACATGTGTAAGCGTTAACATTCCTGCTTCCGGATGATCTTGAGTTTGAGCACTAAATGTGTAAGCACTGAGCACTACTCACAGCGCTTAGTTAATATAATCCTAAAATTTTTGACTTTAGAACATTCTAAATAAATGAGCAAGACAATATTAATTTTTCTCTCAACGTAGTGGTATCAATAGATTCATATATCCTTACGTCCTTATTTTTTAGAAATTATCCCCTAAATCAGGATTCATTTTTTCAATAAGTTGAAAATTTTATAAAATAGAGCATCGCACAAACGTTCCTACCTTCATCATTAAAAAAATCTTAAGTTTTGGAGAAGGTCCAAAAAATTTTTTTGAGGCTGTAGTACTTAAAGATAGTTAGTACTTAAAGGTTGCTAATTTTGGAAATTATCTCCTAAATGAACAAGTAGTTTTCCACTGAGCTGTTAATTTTATAAAATAAAGCATCTTCCAAAGCTTCCTACCTGCAGCTTGGAGAAAAATTTGGGTTTCCGGAACGTTTTCAAAACCCTTTCAAATTTTCTGTACTTAGCGTTTAAAGTTCATGGAAATTTCCAGTAAATTCTGGAAACGTCTCGAATAAGCAAATACAAGTTTGGCCGCTTAGCAACCTAAACTACAGATCTGTGTAGTTATTTAAATTGTCAGTTCTATCAAAATTAATTTTTTTTTAAATTTCTTGAAACCGTTAAGATGTTTTTAAATACATGTACGTACCTCAAAATAACTAAATTTTTTCAAAGTCGGCTCCAAAGCTTTTAAATTTCTAGAATTTCTAAATATTTCTGAATATTTCGACTCGGCCCCGCGCAGCGGGCCCGTAACCTTTATTTTTCTGAGCCTCCAGAGTTTCGAAATTTTCAAAACGTCTAGAAATGTCTAGGTACCTAAATATCTCACGGTCTTAATTGTCTAATTTATATGTAATTTCTAAATATCTAAAAGCCGGCCGCGGTCTGTTTACCGTATTCATACACGTAGCGGCTCTATGATACTGGGTGCCTGAGCATTCACTGCCTCGAGATCTAATAAGAATGCATCTATTCTATTTTAATAAATACTGAAGATTTCGACTGATGGCTGAAAAAAGCTTGCAATTAGTAACTAAAGATGCAGCCTGTGAGGTCAAAAAGCTTGCAAGTAGTAGCTAAAGATGCAGCCTGCCCTGTTACCTCTAATTTTTTGAGCCTCCAGAGTTTCGAAATGTTAAAAATGTGTAGAAATGTCTTTGTACCTCAATATCTCACGGTCTTAATTGTCTAATTTATATGTAATTTCTAATATAGGGTACCTTTATAAGCACCCCTTTTTGCACCCCGTTTATTACAGGCACCCTTTTTAAATTATTATTGTATACAATAGATGTTCTCAGATAATAAATAATAACGCATCTTCATTCCGATGATATAAATGGTAATACATCAGGCTTCAACTTCCAGCCGATAATAAAACGATTTAGCAAATCAGCCAATATAGAGCGAATTAGTACCGCGTCTCTGCTGTAACCGGAAGGTCATCTTTCGTGTTAGAAAGGTTGGCTTCCTCCTGGCCGTTTAAGGCACCGTGAGGTTTTATCAGCTTTTGAAACTTCTGCCAAAAACCCTTTCGCCGCGGCTTTGGGAGTGCTGTGTTCGCGGGCGATGCTCCAGAGATC